TATATATATACACAAAATAATCGTTATCGAATCGCAAGCTTGGGAAGGATAATCAAATCGAATTGTGAAATTTGTGTTAAAACCCAGCCCTATAAATTATTATTATTATTATTAGGCGGCCTATTATTATTCGGCTATTATCATCAAATTTCCGAATTTGGAAACACACTTCTCGTCCTCATTGGAAATGTTTTAAAAACAGACTATAAAACTAAGCCCACATCAAAATTGAACTGTAAGGTGATAAACCTATATTTACAAAGTATGTCCAGAGTGCTAAAAGAGACATCTTTTCCAAACATCTGTATGAATGAACATGCCGAAAACTGCATCGTCATCAGCATTTCGTTTTCATTACAGCACATTAACAAAAAATATTGATGCTTATTCTTCATCATCATTATTATAAAAACATGCAGATCAGTTTAATTTAACTTTACTCCAAATATATGAACTTACCTGTTTTAAATACTTTATATTTAACGTGTTCGTTTTTGTCCAATATTTAGTGTTAAACTGTTGGTCTTTAAAATAAATCTACTTTTGATTTTCACCGTTGACTGATTTTGCAGATCTTTTAGACTGATAATTTCAGTGCGCAGATGCAGCAAACTTGTCACAGTACCCAAAGTCCTTATAGCGATGTATGACTGTTGTATCTGAATATATATGAACTAGCTGTTTAAAATATTTTTATATTTAACATGCTAGTTTATCAGTATGCTATGAAAGTATATTATTTCGATTATTGGCACTTCCATTCTTTCTGTCTCACGCTCGCGTGGTTTAAAACACCAAATAGTTATGAAATAATCTATGAAAAGTGCAGAGTGTCTCTCTCTTGCCCCACCAACCCATGCATGGTAATATCATGTATCGGCGATCTCACAGGCTGCTGATATGACGATATGAAAAATGACCATATCGACCAACACTATGTAAGATTATAAATGTCTTTAGTCACTTTTGATCAATTTAATGCATCCTTACTGAATAATATTCATTTGTTTAAAAAACAAATCTTACTGAGCAAAAATTTTAAATGGTAGTCTGTGATTGTACTGTTTTCTGATGATTTATGATAATTGAGGATTTTCCTCCTCACATACACACCCCCTCCTCTTACATGGAAGACTGTCTGAGTCGACCGGACGCAAAACACAGACAGACTGACCGACCTTGAGCTGTCTACATACACACAACAGATTTACTTTTAGCCACCTACACAGACAGACTTTCCATCAGTGATAACCACACACACACACACACACACACACACACACACACTGAAGTATCAGTCAGACACTTGCCTTTGTCTGTCTGCTGCTGTGAAATCAGGAGAGACCATTATTGTACCCACATCATGCAAGGCTTGCATGACTACTCATGTTTCCTAATCAACAAGTGGATTAGTTGGCGAGTCGTTGTTTGCCTCGTTTAAATGACTCCGCACACATCATGCCACATCACCTGCCTGTTGGCTGCTTGAAAGTATCTGACAGCCAAGATGTTGTGGGTGAGAAATGAAAGCTTACATATATGCACCTCAAGGTTCGTGCTGCTTTCTGATAAAAACAGTCATGTCCCGTTCACTTCTCACTTATAGTTTGCATCAGCCTTGTTTTCAAAACTCCAAGGGAACACAGGCCATCTTCTGTGTTTAACTTGTATAATGCTTTGCAAAGGGCAGTTTCACTTTTCCCCCCACATAATGGCAAATCTATTTGCCTGTTACATTTTACTATAGAAAAACTGTGGCGCGCAAATATATTGGGACTAGGGCTGTCGCAATAAACTGGTATTATTGACAATAACGGTTATATTTAAAATAATGACATTTTCATATTGTGTTAATACAGTATTACACATGATAACATCAGAAATTATTTTGGTTCACGCATTAAACATAAAAGGTGGCAGTCTTGTACCTTAATGCTGTTTGCCACGTGTCAGAAAAAAAAAAAAAAAAGACAACCCACAATGCAGTGTATGGCTACTACCGATAGCATTATTTAAAGGGGTCATATGATGCAATTTCATTTTTTCCTTTCTCTTTGGAGTGTTACAAGCTCTTGGTGCATAAAGAAGATCTGTAAAGTTGCAAAGACTAAAGTCTCAAATCCAAAGAGATATTCTTTATAAAAGTTCAGAGTCAGCCACACCTACCTAAAACGGCTCATCACAAATGCAGCCATGGTTTTATGTTTACGCGGCGCGATACGCAACGTGTAAAAAGACAGTATAAGTCATTATAATCTGTAATTATGTCCCCACTGGATGCAACAAATGCCTCGTTTGTAATGGGTTTTAATGTTTATGTCTCGTCGCTCCGGCCGGACACGGCACATCACAGTATGTGAGGGGCGTAACATTTCCGTCACATGCTTGATGTATTCGGCCAATCACAACGCACTGGATAGTTGGCCAATCAGAGCACACCTCGCTTTTCAGACCGATTAGTTTTGTAAAAATCGACGCGTTTCAGAAGGCGGGGCATAGAGGAGAAACAATAATGTACAGTATGTGGAAAATAATGTGTTTTTTTAACTTTAAACCGCATAAACACATTTCATTACACCAAATACACAAAATAATGTTCTTTTTAGCAGCATCATATGACCCCTTTAATTTAATTTATTTAATTGACATTTCTATAGATTTTGTAATAATACCTTTATTGCGAATTTATTTCACACAAAAATCATATAGTGAAAATATGATATTGTGAAAGTCCTAAATGGGACCCAGAAAATGTGGGTATACAAGATATTAAAATTCTGGCTGATACCGATAAGGCAATAAATAGTTTATGTTTGTTATTTTGTCTAAATAAATTAAAAGTATAATTAAATTAGTACTGTTTTTAGAGATTAAATTTAATGACAGCAAAGGATTACTTTAACAGAAAATGTGGAGAATAAAAACACTTCTAATATTGGCTAATAACCAATATTCCCTATAAAAAAAAACAAAGAAGTCACCGATGTCACGTGATCAACATCTAGTCAACACAGACCAAATTCTGAACTAATCATCTAGCCTGTGCAGTTCATTTCCCACACTTCTGACTTTTCCTGTCAAAGTCACTATTAGAATTATTTACTGTTAAGCTTACAGAGAGCGGACACTCACGTCTTAATGTTGTCATGGTAGACTTTAGTATCAGAGGGCTGGTTGTACAGAGGCTGTGGAGAGACAGAGGAAATGGCTGCAGATTAGCTAGATGAACAAACTCACACAATCTATTGCATCAGAAAACTATTTCCCACAGTACTCACCAGCTCCACTTTAGGCCCCATCCCTTCCAGTATCTTATGGGCTTCTTCTGCCTTTTTCTGTGACACAACAGAGTGAGAATGTTGGTAAAAAAAGACCACAATGTATTTCCTTGTGGTTAGATAGTCTGCCTGCTGACACACCACACTAAGCGAACAAACTGCCCTCTCATTTGTTGACTTCTAGCTTTGATAGAGAGAGAAAGTGTGAGCCTGTGCATGTTTTAACAGCAGAAACACAAATTGTTTAAGCCGACAAACAATTTATCACTTGTTTGGAAAACATTTTCTCCTCCAGGGTGAAAGGGAGTAAAAATAAACATGCCAAAAAAAATAAAATAAATCACCATTTCCTGAGCAGCAGTATTCTGTCTGGGAAACGCCTCCATTACTCAATCCCACAATTCTTTACACTCAAAAGCTACAATCTGTTTTTGTTAACAGTTGCAAGCATCTACCAAGTATATGTATTGTCCGTGTGTGCAACTGCTTCTTGATTCTTCAGTGATGCTCCCAGACCAGATGGGTGCTATAGTTTTGCCTCACTTTCTCCATCTGTACTTCTTTCTCTCTCACCCACTTTATTTCTAAGTCTCATCTGTTACTGTGCTCAGTAAACTTTTCTTCCAAAACAAGCAAACAAAAAAACGGCGTATGAACATAATTGCTAAATTTAAGTGTCCAGATTACACAACGGACACACAGAGATACCATTAAAATTTTAAAAGGGAGCAAAGAATAAACAAAGTGAAATTACATTCATGAGACATCAGTTCTTGGCTGATCAGACAACAATCGACAGGCAGAAATACAAAACTCCAAAAATAAAATAATCTCCAAACCGGTCCTGGAGAGTTTAGCTCCAACCCTAATTAAACACACCTAGCTAATTAAGGTCTTACTAGGCATACTAAAAACTTCCAGGCAGGTGTGTTGAGGCAAGTAAGAGCTAAACTCTGCAGGACCAGTTTGGAGACCACTGTCTTCGACAGTCACATCACACTCTGTCAACAATAAAATGTAAAAAAACTCCTAACTGAGTTCATTCAGTCATTGATTATCTTCTCCCAGAGGTGTTCAAAGACGCTCAGGAAAGCATTTGCTCACTGTGAATAGTCTAAGCACACTTTAACAACAATTAAACATGATCTATAAAGAGCACAATCTGCTAGGTTTTGGAGTGTGAGAGAAAAACACGATGTATTAATGTGTTCATACCCGGTTCTCATCATAAATGATCTGGACGATGCTGCGATGTTTGTGTTCCACAGGGGGTGGCGTCACTGGCTTTTCTGGCTCTACAGGCTTTGCTGCCTCCTCCTCCAGTTGTTGCTAAGTGATAACAAACATGACAATATACCATAAAACTGGAAGCCTAAAACAAGCATATAAACAAACAATACTACTACTACTAATAATAATGAACATTTTCTGAACATGAAATTATGAAGGTTTCACCCATTTTGATTGTTTACACGTGAACTCGCAAAACTTCTTGCTTAGAAAAGTAATAACACACATCCCTTTTTTAGCACACAAATTGAAGCATCATTCTTGTCTTTAGCTGATATGGTGTGGAATGCGGCAAAGTTAAATGCCTAAATATGAGCAATAATTATAGCGATACTTGCCTCAGCAAGCACCACTAATCACAGGGATGAATGACTACAACAGACACAATAAAACCTTCTCACAGATATCAAAGTGATGTGCAGGGGTGTCAGGGCTCCAAACTGCGACTAAAACGGCCAAAAATATTAAATTGCGAGAAGTTTTTGCTGAGGTCGCCACTGGCGACTAGGCCAATGCATTTACATATTAGAACTTAAAAATTTGCATGTAATGCCTTTTTTCCTGATTGTTTTGAGATCACATCTTTTGTTATGTTCGCGTATTAAACTGAGACGATGCGCATCAAAGTTTTAGTGGAAAAGAAGAGTTTTAAACAGTCCTCATCTCTGCAGCACACCTGCTAAACGCAGCTCAGTTGTGCAGCGTGAGAGAGATCGAAATGACGGAGACGTGCGAAGTGAAAGTGTTATTTATTATTCAAAATTCATAAAATTCAAACAATAAATACAGTTTTGTTTTTGCCTCTCTTTAATGCGGCAGGCACGGTCGTTTTAGCGCCTCAGTTCAAGCGGCAAGTGAACCCATTTAATTTTTCTCTTTACTACTGTAATACATAATCAGAGGCGGACAAAGAACTTAACTCCATTACTTGAGTGAAAGTACAGATACTGCTGGTCAAATATTACTCCATTACAAGTAAAAGTTGTAAAGACAGATTTTTACTTAAGTAAAAGTACAGAAGTACTTGCTTTTAAAAGTACTTAAGTACCAAAAGGAAATTTCCTTTTTTATGTCAATCCACAGTTTTATTGTTGTACGTAATACTTGCAATACTTCTGAAGCAACTTACAATACATTAAACCTACTGAATATACTGACTAGCTTGTAGTATCTTTGGAATAAAGAGCTTTTAGAATGTTAAAAACCTATGGGGAAAAAAAATTAACACCAACAACAGAAAAATTATTTAACACCCCTACCCACCCCCACAAAAGCAGGATGGTAGTGATCTCACACAGCTCTGACAGTGTGATTGTTGTACGTAATACTTGCAATACTTCTGAAGCAACTTACAATACATTAAACCTACTGAATATACTGACTAGCTTGTAGTATCTTTGGAATAAAGAGCTTTTAGAATGTTAAAAACCTATGGGGAAAAAAAATTAACACCACTACCCTCCCCCACAAAAGCTGTATGGTATTGATCTCACACAGCTCTGACAGTGTGCACACATCTATTGGCGCTTTTCCACTGCATGGTACGGCTCACTTTTGGGGGGTTTTCCACTGGGTACAGTACCTGGTACTTTTTTTAGTACCACCTCGGTTGGGGTTCCAAGTGAACCGTACCGTTACCAAAACGTGATGTGTAAACCCTGCAGATCAGGGATTGGCCGGAGAGAATCGACATCAATCCTTCTGAAACTGCAGTGCATAAGGAAAAACCTGATAGAAGTCAAGAAAAAAAAAATTCTAGGCAGACTTAGGCTTTGATTGACAGTCTTAATAAAGACAGCGGTATACAATGCAAGATAACAGTTTGTTGTTCTTGTCACATTTTCACCATTGGGCCAGAACAGAATGGAAAGTACCTTCAACCAGCATGCTAGTATCTCTACAATCAGATATTTAAGAAAACAAAGATAGTAGACGGGAGTGAGGAATAAATGTGTACACTTGCAAGCGTGACAGATTTGTCATCGCCATCAAAGAGCTAGAATAATTGGCAAAGAAAGGGAGTTGTGACAAGCCTCTTTCAGAGGGGCAACATTTCCCACAAGGCTTATTGATAAATACTGAACAAAAACCCTGTCTGCTGCTAGCGGTGAGCACCTGTGAGCTTTCCTGTGACATGGGACTGAACCCTGGTACGTGCAGGGAGAGAGTGAGAAGGTCAGTTTTGGTTTGGATTTAAACAAACAAATCTTCACAAAACTAGTGACTGAAACTGTCCTGAGCTCTTTATACAAAATGAACAATAGCTTAGAGCTTAAAACAAGTAGTTCTTGAGCTGTAGCAGTGTTTAAGCCTCTCTCTCTCATGCATTTGTGTTTAGTCAGGCTACATACCTGTTTCTTTTTCAGTTTGAAAATCTGCTGCTCGACCTTGGCAATCTCACGGTCAACGCGGTCCATGCTCTGAATCAACTCCTCCTTGGAGAGTTTGGAGGGCGATGTGTCTGCATCCTCACCCACCTGTTGAACTCCGGCATCCACCTTCACACTATACTGGGTTTCCTGTCCCAGAAAACAAGAGAGCACAAGAATAGGTACAAGCTTGTTTTATGGAATGGGGGAATGTTTAAATCACACATATATATATATATATATATACACACACACTTATCACCTTCTTGACCTCTCCAGTGGTCCTGATGCTGTCCTGTATGGTCTGTGGAGTGGACAGTAAGATGCCGGTGGGCTGAGACCTTGAAAAGTGCGTTTCAGATACGTTCTCGATGCGGGAACGCTTGGCCTCGAGAGTCTCCTGCTCCTGCTGAGCTGGGACGGCATGAAACTGTTGCTCATAACCATGTCTGCGCTCCGGCGGCCTGCAGGAGACGAAAGAGATATTATTATGCTTCACAAACTTCAGCACCAAACAATATTACTGAAAACAACACAAAAGAGTTTAATTTTTAACTAAATTAAATTAAAATACAATTAATTGATCTAAAAACAATTATTCGAGAATTGCAACATTATGCACTTTATATTCCAATCACATATTGTCAACCAAGAACTGCATTTGTCTGGGATTTGGAATTAGGAGCATCTGAACAAACAAAACTGTCAAACACAGACAGAAACTCAAAGGCTCAAGGGTTTAACAGAAGAAATTAGTATTGCATATAATATTTTTATTAATACTCCATTTTAAACAAAAACGTAAAACATTTAAAATATTACATTTATGTCATTCTACATCATACATTTATTTGTCAATGTGAATAATTGACTGACATACATAAATGGTAACAAATATATTAAATAGTTAATTGCAATAATTTATGACAATTATTTAATGGCCAAATCACGATAATGTTGTCAGATCTACATAGTATAACCCATTTCCAAGTTGTTCCCAAACAAAATATTCAAAGGAATCATCTATGGTGGGTTTATATCTGGCCCACCATAGATGACTTCACTGACAATTAGGCAATATCGCGTTCATAATCGCAGATGAATCACATTCGATTATGAACGCGATATTGCCTAGCTTGTCAGTGAACTACGGCTCTGTGTATTAAATGCTGCTCCATCTGAAAGCAGGTGATGGAGATTTACTAATTCACTAATCACAGAACAGGCTTTACTGACGAGATGCGCATGACAATCGCAGAGAAAGAAATAGGCAGGCTGCTAAAGTCTTTTTTTATATGAAAACTTGACACACTCTTTTTGAACCTCTTAAGTTGAGTTTTCCGATCTTTCACGGGCCTGGTGTATGTGATGTTTAAGAGTCATTTTGGCAGCGGATGCTTGTCCTTCATCGGAGAGCCTGAAAGAGGCTGTAGGTCACAGGGTTTGGTGGGTTGCGGGGAGAGATTTATTTTCTGTTGTCTATTGTTGTTGTTTTGTGCGTTCATAGGCACCAGGCAGTGTCCCAGCGTGGGTATGCTGCAGAAACAACATCTCCAGTATTTGAGCACAGCTTTTTGTGATTTCTCTCTCTCTGTCTCTCTCTGAAGGTATTAAGCTGGCATCTTCTCTGCCTCTCTTTTATAATAGGCTGGTATTGTTTTGGGCTCTTTTATTATTTTGGTGGCTGGTATTATTTTTGATTTCCATAAGTCTTGGTCTGTTGGCTTTGCACGTCTTTTATTTTCAGCTGGAACAATGGCAATCCCCCAGCCACCGGCCCTACCCTCAATAACAATTCCCACAAATAATGACACTACCCCTAATCTGTGTGTGTGTG